AAGTCGGACGTCAAACCTTGTTCATCGAACATAGGGTGTTGTACAGTAAAAATAATGTGATACTCAAAACTTGACGTAAAGGAAACGAATTATTTTTGATTATTATATAATATTTATTAGCTGTAATTTTCCTTTTGTTGTGTTCTTGAATAAATATTGGCCTTCCACTGCTATGTGCTCATCTGGTTAGTTAATATTCACAAACCGTCCGATTTATTCCATCATAATTCCATTAGACGTTTCATAACTTCAGTGAAGCACCATGCCATTTAATTTAATTAATACTCGTATTTTCACACCGTTAATATTATTTAAATGAAATAAATTGATGCAATAATTTTTGGGTGTCCTTTTACTGATGGGGAATTTGTTGATGGGAGATTTAATACATGTTTATCGGTATTGTGGTTGCTTTTAGATTTGCAACATGTTTTAAAATGGAATACCTTAGAAAACTCCTGGGTGTTATGGTAACTTGTATTTGATATTCTTAAGTATTTTAAGCGCTGTTTCTATAATATAAGATATACTGATACAATATGAATTTTACTGTCTCAAATATAATACCTATTAAAAGTAAAAAAAAGTTAATGAATCACACTAAAAGTTTTTTTATTAATGTAACATTGATTTGACCGACAACTTAATGAAAAAAATCTAAAACCGTATGCTGTATACATTTGATCATCCAGTTTTTTCTGATCAGGCGGTATCGTATCGAATAATTGTGTCTCAAGCAGGGCTGCTCATTTCGACCACATCTTATCTCTACCCTTAACATTTCAAACCACGCGTCCATACTTAACCATACCGTATCTTGTCAGCATATCAGCATAACCTTTTGTTTAGATGTGGACACTGAAAAATGTTAAATGATAAACTGAAAAAACGCTATGGCAGGTGTAGCCATAGCGTTTGTTAGAACTGTCTGTCAATTCTTGCGGTGTAATTTGCGCACATAAAAATCCTTCTGTCAATACGAAACTCACTCATAATAATTGAAACAATAAACAAACAATGTCACAATGTCACACACAGCGTCAACTCGAACACAGACTCGGGTCAGTCGCTCCACCGATCGTCATATTGTACGAGGGCGGGCGGCCTGTGTTGGTAAACCAATCCGAAACAACACGACCGTTATTATTGTAATTTTTAAGTTGAATAAGAAGTAAATATCAATAGCCGCCTTTACACGTACGCTATTTATCACGTGAATCGGCTTTCGTGCGGTAAAGAACGCTCATGTAAAGTTAGAAAAGGAGTCAGGACCTCAGTCATGCGTACCAGCTGTGCGTACCAGTCTGCGTGCTTCTAACATAATTTACACACACGGCTTTGTCACGGTTTTCGCAAAACAATGATGCAACAATTCTTTTAAATTTCTCATTTTATTCTTTTGAGCTACATTCTGGATTATCTTATTAACTACAATATCATGATAAGTTTATAAGGAATGTGCAAAACAAAATCTTCACAAACTTCAGTAATCACCAGGTGGTCAGTTCTTTCAATAGAGATACGGTTTTGTGGCTCCTTAATATTAGCTAGTAAATTATTATCATGTAAAGAACGTAAAGACATTGTGAGCTTCTCTGTTGAGCAAACTGTAGAAATGGCATGTGTTGAGTTTGAACACCTCATTGTTGTGAGCGTCTACAGACCCCCATGTTGTACATATGATACTTTTGAAAACATTATGGAGGAAGTTTTTGCTAAGCTTAATAAACAGAATAAATCTGTTGTAATATGTGGAGATTTTAATATCAATCTCCTAGAAGCTTCCTCCATCAATATTAAATTTAGATCATTGTTTAAATCATATGGTTTTTTAATTTATTTATAGAGCCATCGCGTATTTCTCAATCTAGTGCAACATGTATAGATAACATTTTTACAAATGTGAAGCCGTTGCATAAATGTATAATTCAAAAATTAAGTTCTGATCACTGTGGACAAGTAGTTTCGTTACCTTATGTTCACAAAAAGCAAGTAGATGAGAAAGTTTTGTCTGTTCCAGTAAATGCACGTCGCTTGGAGAAATTTAGAAGTAACATAGTGAAAACTTCCATCACTTTCATACCAAAATGATCCTAATTTTTTGTATGAAACATTATTTAAGCTTATTTGCAATAAATTTAATAATACTTTTACTTCTAAAACATTCTCCTTGAACAGTCGGAAGTCATTCAATGAATGGGCTACAGTAGGAGTCCATAAGAGCAGGCATAGATTATATGATCTTTACCATGAAAGGTCAAATAATCATAGCGTCGAATATAGGGAATATGTAAAAAAAATATTCAAAAATATTTAAAAGAGTGTGCTCCATAGCCAAGTCTTTGCATTTGAGCAACAAAATTAAGACGGCTTCCAATAAAATTAAAATGACATGGAGTATAATTAATAGCGAAACTGGTAAGATCAACTCTCGCAATTCAAATTACCAGTTAAGTGTTAACAACAAATTAACTGTATCAGATCAGGACGTAGCAATGGTTTTTGAGAAATATTTTACTGATATTCCGATCTTGACCACTAAGTCACTGAATTCTTCTCCTGCTGTCGCCGAATCATTACTTAAACAAAATGTAAATGTGTGTAAAAAGAATTTTACATTTCATAAAGTGTCATCAAAAGATATTGTAAAATATTTTAAAACTATTGATGTTAAGAAAACTGCGGATCTGTGGGGGATTTCCGCTAAAGTTATTGCGTCTATAATAGATACAATCGCGCCTCATTTAGCTATTATTTTTAATACTAGTATCGAATCTGGTGTGTTTCCTGATTTAATGAAGCATAGTAAAGTAATACCTTTATTTAAATCTGGTAGTACATTAGACCCCGCCAATTTTAGACCTATTTCTGTACTACCAACACTTAGTAAGATTTTTGAAAAAATTTTTCTTGATTAAATGTTATATTTTTTTAATATAAATAATTTACTTCATAAAAATCAATTTGGTTTCACAAGGGGTCGCTCGACAACTGATGCCGGTGTTGAGCTGATTAAATATATCTTTAATGCATGGGAGAATTCACAGGATGCTTTGGGTATATTTTGCCTTCGATTGTGTTCACCATGAAACATTAATCAGGAAACTTCAACACTACGGTGTAAGAAGTGATGCCCTTAAATTAATTATTTCATATTTAAGTAAGAGAACGCAAAAAGTTGTCATTAACAATATGAGCTCTTCCGGATCGATGGTACAAATGGGCGTACCTCAAGGCTCAATTCTCAGCCCCTTTCTGTTTCTTGTATACATTAATGACTTACCTTGTATAGTAGGGGATAACCATGATATAGTATTATTTGCAGATGACACTTCTTTAATTTTCAATTTAAGTCGACAGTTACTAAAATATGACGAAGTAAATAATGCTATATCTAAATTAGTAAATTGGTTCGATGTTAATAATTTGCATTTAAATGGCACTAAAACAAAATGTATGAAATTCGTGACTCCAAATGTCAAACAATTAAATACTAATGTAATTTTAAATGGGGAGAAACTGAGTCTTGTAGATACCACCATTTTTCTTGGAATCACACTAGACGCGAAGCTTCAATGGGGCCGCCATATATCAAAACTAGCATGCAGACTTAGTTCTGCAGCATATGCTGTAAAAAAAAGATTAGAAGTCTAACTAGTGTTGAAACAGCTAGACTAGTTTACTTCAGCAACTTCCATAAAATAATGTCGTATGGTATTTTGTTATGGGGACACGCAGCTGACACTGAAATTATATTTGTTTTGCAGAAGAGAGCCATAAGAGCAATTTATGATTTAAAGCCTAAAGAGTCGCTGCGACAAAAATTTCGGGAAATTAATATATTAACTTTGGCCTCTCAATACATTTATGAAAATGTAATGTACGTGCACAAAAATAAAAGTAGTTTTATAAAAATAAGTGATATTCATTCTGTAAATACTAGGAACAGACACAAACTAGTAGTACCAGTTACTCGACTCCATCGAGTCAGTAATTCATTCTTGGGGCGATGTATACGCTTTTACAACAAAATTCCAGAAAATATACAAAGTTTGACCTGTTCAAAGTTCATAAACTTTATTAAACTAAGTTTGTATAAAAAGGGCTATTATAATATTAAGGAATTTATGGATGATAATAACCCCTGGAAATGAGGTGATCGCTACCAAGCTATTTCTAATTTGTTGTGTTGTTAATTTGTGTAACATCATGATTGTAAGCTGTAATTTAAAAAAAGTCCCGCTGGGTTTCTTGGTGGTTCTTCCCAGGACAGAGGTTTTTTCCGAACCAGTGGTAATCAAACAAAAGAGTGACTTTCAATAAGTATTATTTATAATCTTAATCTATATTGAATAAAATAGTTTCTGTTTTTGTTTCTGTTCTATTACAAAAAGTGCGGTGTTGTTTCTGCGTTATAGATCAAATTTTATTTTTAACTAGCTGGTACCCCGGCGCGTTGCTGCAGCAAAATAAATAACTGTGAAAATATCGTTTTCGGAAGAGTTATATTGTTTAATTAGCAATAATAATACTATAATTTAACAGATTTATTATATATGCACGCACGCCACCTACTGCAAGTTAATTGTACCATGCCTATAACCTTCGTGCAAATACAATTAATAAATTGACAAACTGTTACCGCAATCTGATGAACGGTAAGGCAGCGCATAAAATACTAACAAACAGATATAACAATAATCATTTTTATATATATTAGATTTAATACAATCTTCATACAATTTTAAAATTTTATTTATTTTTTCCAAGTTATATAAGCAAACAATTTCTTATAAATAAACATACATTTGACATATATACATTTGTCAAGTCATTACATTGTTGTGAAATTTGTAAATGTAGTAATAATTGTCAAAATTTCGGCGTTAGAACCACTGAAATATAAGAGAAATTTGCTATTTGTGCAAAATCAAATTTTAGTACCTAGTCGGTAGTATAGTAAGAAATAGTACCAATTAGGTGCTAAAATTTGATATTGCTCAAATAGCAAACTTCTTTAATGGTTCAGAGGTTTTGACGATCACCAAAACTTTAGTGTTTCTGGGCATTTTTGAACCTTTCTGATGCGTTGCATCTATCATTTTCCAAGCAATGATGCGACGACATTTGGAGGTACTGAAAAAGTTGTCTGAATCTGAAAAAATACATAATATATTATGTTATTAGATAATTCTGAAATAATGGTTTTGTTGTAATAATCTATAATATAAAAATGAATCGCTGAATGTGTTGCTAAGCGCAAATCTCGCGAGCAGCTGAACCGATTTCACTAATTCTTTTTTTATAATATTTCTTAAAGTACGAAGATGCTTCATACGGAGAGAAAAATTTAAAAAATTGCCTGATAAAGTCTAAAAACAATACTTTTCTATATTCCCATACAAAAGATTCGTAATAATACTTAAAAGTCAATTTGAACTTTAATACCATTTCATTAAGTACTTAAACTTAGTTAGTTAGTGGCGGGGTTCCGGGAAGGCAAAACAATTGAGTGACGTTAGTATCGTATAAATATTAATGTCAATATTTGTCAATATTTATAAGATGGTAACATTACTCAAAAACAAAATTAGAATTCCGCGCAAAAAAATGATATCCATGAAATCGTAGTAAATTCCACGCGGGCAAAGTCGCGGGGCACAGCTAGTTATACATAAAATTTCTTGGAAATATACAAAATGCCACGGAATTCCATTAAATTGCTCACTTGTCCTCGAAAATGTAAACGCTTCCTGACACATAATGTCGGCCCAGGGTAGATATGGATAATGGCAGTATTGTGACTATTGATTATAGACAACATGTATATAAAATGAATTTTATTAGTATTTTATTAACCAATTAAATTATTTTGTAAATAGTAATAATCTGGTATCTTCTTTGTGGCATCTTTTGGGGGAGGTGTTTGTTCAGGACTTGTGAGAAGTTGTAATTATTATTATTAATAGTCTGTAGAACACATAATAGGAACATAATAGGAAGTATTCTATAGAACATTATTTCCTATTATGTTAGTGCAAAATTTTCATTAATGATTATGTATTAGTTTAAAGTTAAAGCCTTTATACGCCCAGAGGCACAGTCCTCATTTAATCAAGTGTTTCTGTGTGCTTCCACTCTGGGCAGCGCAGTGGACACTTTCTGTGTCGGTGGCCTTTACATGTCTTCGAAATGTTTTTTTTCCTTAGAAATTTATGTTTTCTCACAACATTTTTCTTCACAGTGGTAAAAAGTATTTAAAATTTCATTAAACAAATTCATTGGTGCAGTTTGATTGCTCGCGTTCTATGATATTTACGAAGAGAAGAAAGAGTACTGTGAAAATGACAATGAGCGCTTAGCCTTTGAGTTACCACGCCTCATTCGTGGTATTTATTGTTTAATGTATTAAAATAATAATTATAATAACATATTCTATTAATAAATTATAGTATAGTCAATAAAACAAATGTCCTATTTATTAATTTAAATATGTTCAAAACGTGATATATGGTGAAACCTGCATGTCTGAGAAATTAAATGTTATTGATACCCACTTAATGACATGGGGTAGTGGATATTTACACCGGCACAACACCATTTTTAATTATAAGCCAAAGCTAATAATTGCTTTTATATAAGTATGACATATAATATAATAAAAAATATTTATGTAATAAGAAATAGTTTTGGGTTATTTATTTGAAAGACAAAAAATTTAAGGTCTGACTTGAGGGTAACTTTCTTACGAAAGTAACGTTCAGTAAAATCTGTACTTAGATTCCGCATTTATAAAGGCAGCGACTGATTTACAGCATTTCGTGAGATATGTAGTGCTGTACAGTGCAGCTTAACACTAATATATACAATATTAGTGTTAAGCTTAGAATTACAATAGTTCAATTAAAGTCCTAGATAGAACAAAACGCCCTCTTTATTGACACATTCCAACATTATATGGCGACCTAACCAGATTGATAGAAATAATAATATATATGTAAAAGCTGTGAAAAGAAAAAAAAATATGGGAGATTAGTATATCCATATAAAATCAGCCTGATCAGCTGAGAGTTTGGAAAACCTAATAACCGATTAATTTATTAAGGTTATTTCGATGCGATAAATTGCGGAACGTATTTTAATGTAATTTATAATGTAACATATTTTAATATTATTAAGTGCGTGAGATCATTACAATCAAATAATGAATTATATGAGCTGAAATGTTATAAATTTAAAGAAGCGAATCAAATTATATTGGTCATTTTCTCGATCATGTGTGTACGCGAGCGTGAAAGAAAAGACACATATTTAATGAACAGTTAAAATGCTATGAAGTAAAATATAAAATAAGTAATGTTTAGCCAAATATAAAAAAAATTTAATTAATTAAGTTAAAGTGAGTGAAATGAAAAAAAATGTGAATAAACATATAAAGGAATAGTACTATTTAATGTTATTGTCCGGATAAGTGACTTAATAACTGACTAAATAACTTAGTAATTAGGCTAGATATGTGACAGTGACGTATCGACCAAAATAATATAAGTTCACGAATGTACACCTGATTTTGTCAAACATAACGCATCATATTTTATGTAATATGTAAAACCTTATTGTGACTACGGACTACCCAACCCTAACCAAGCCAAGACGAAAGTTATAATAGCTATACGTTATGAGAACGTTAGATTTTTTTTTAACTTTTCGTTATAGTTAACTTTTTATTATATATATTTTTATATTGTCGTTGTTGAGAGGTGTAGTGTAGTATATATATTAAAGTTAATTTTAGAATTACAGCAGTCGAATTAAAGCCCTGCACAGAACAACACGCCTCTTCATTGACACCTTCCAACATTACAGTTAAATACACAATTATTTAAATTACTGGCTGGTACCCGACGCTTTGCTGCCACAGAAAAATAATTTTACAAATATGGTTTTAAATTTGGGAGAGTTATATTGTTTAATTAGGAATGTTAATACATTCATTGAATTTGAGTGATGTATAACTTTCGAATAAATTTGTTGGTACGATACGTGCACTACCTATTGTAAGTTATTTGTACAATTTTTTTTATAGGATAAGGGTGACAAACGAGCACACAGCCCACCTGATGGTAAGTGGTTGCTGCGGCCCATAGACATCTACATCTATCCTCTATTACAAATCAAAATGTAGATGCGTTGTCACCCGTGAGGACTAAGATGGAATGCCTCATTTCCCGTAAAAAGGGCCTCCGGCCACCTGCACTCACCAAGCGAAACGCAGAGGTGAACCTCTACTTCACGCTGGTTTTCTGTGAGGTCGTGGTACCACCCCGGTTCGAGCCGGCCCATCCATGCGACAGCAAAAGCTGCCGCGTGGCTCTACCACTGTTAAAAGTACTATGCCTATAACCTTCTCAAGCAATAAGTTGACAACGTCTTAGCAAGTATTATTTATTCTGTGGTTTTTGCGCAATCTGATGAACGGTATGGCAGCGCATAAAATACGAACAAACAAAAATAAATTTTTATAAATTAGATTTTCAGACATGTACTATTATATCAATTATATATGTATATATCGTCATCGTTGTCATTAACATAACAGGCTATCAAAGTTCACCGCCGACATTGAAGGAGGGGATCTTTGCCATAGTAGACACCCCTTTTTTATTACGAGTTGGTATCACGAAGTTCCTGCCGTGCCGCCTGTCTCTTGTTTCAGTTTTCCTCTAGTGCCTCTTACGACACCCACAAGTCTATGGACATGGAGTAGTGAATTGTCTTACATCAATAATAAATTGGCATATTATATAAATATACCGTGGTTGAATATAATAATTACTTTATAAATAAACGTTTTATTGTTAAGTAAAAAAAAATATAGTATATCAAAAATAACATAAGTGTAGCAGCAGTGGACTTGAGATGTGCTGTAGTGATGATGATGATGATAATTATATAAGTCAAAGTAGTAAATAAATATTAATATTTATTTTTTTAATGTACGTATTATTATTTTTTTTAATTATATGTCATGTATGGACAATACATTTTTTTAAATAATGATATATGTATAACTTTCTGCAAGTCATACTTTTATTAGTTCTGTAAAGTATTTAATATAGCTGATTTACTTACATAAGATGGCTTTGTTCGAATAGCATATCCATTGGCATCTGCAGTATAATATATGTTCTGTAAAACTCCATCAGAATCTGTGTAAGAATAAAAACCTTCCACGTCGACGTGCTCGTCAGGTTGTCCTGCATTAACAAGATGCCCACTTTCTTGTCTTGTTATGCCATTAGATGTTAGATAACTGTAATATTATGTTTTATAAAAAAATAAGTTACAAGTATATTCTTCAGAAGATAGGGCGTCATAATAATCTTTGACTTTGTAATAAAGAAAATTTTTATAATTGATAGTGTCATTATATATCTTACCTGAAGAAATAGTTCCCGGTACCATCGTTTGTATTTTGATATGCCACAGTTTCGGCTTGAGATTCCGGTGGAATTGATGCACCGTTAACATATATGAATAAAATAAAAATAGCCACAACACGAAACATTTTATAATCACACAATCAAAAAATTAACTATTTAAGTTTTATTTTACGTTAGTTTGGTTTTTCATTTAATCACCACAACAAATAAAATAAAACACAACTTTATTGTAGGAAGTGTACGGTCGTCATCATTTTCCCATCTATGAGCCTTAATTTTTATAAACAAATTATAGACCATTTATTTTTAAAGAGAAGAATGAAAAAATGATAAATTGTAGTAGGAGATAACGTCAAAATTACGCGTATCACCGATATGCCTGCCTCTTAAACCTGCTGCAGACAAATGACGCGAATATTTGCAACATTATTACTTATATGCTAATAATACATTCTAATATATGCTAATTATACTTCTTTTATTTGATTTTTATATTTCTTTGATAATTTTTTATTTTCAATTACAAATTAACACAAAAAGAAGACTGCTTAAATTTGTAAATTAATATATAATTTGCGTTTCATTTGTATTTTTGTATATATTCATGAAATATAATTTTAGTATAGCCTGGTTTTAATTCAATCGCAGAACAATAAGTTTGAATGATCCGCGTTAATTTTTAGGTAAAAAAGGGCGAACGATCGATGAGTAACAACCGACCCGACGGTGGTAGGCTGCTATAGCTTGTGGACCCCAGCAACCGCCTTCAAGAACGCTACAGAATTGATACCTCAAAGAATAAGATCAAGTGCCTCATATACATATTATGAGAAAGGTCAAATGCCTCATATTCTCGAATACGGGCTCTCCATCCCTATTAAATCAGAATAAAACAGTGGGTGTACTTTCGCCTAGCGGCAGAAAAGAAATAATTAAGTCAGTGGTACATAAACAGACGATCTCCGAGGTAGAATAGGAATTCTACTAATTCCTATTGAATTTTAAATATAAATTATGAGATAGAGCAAGCTCTGAATTAGCTCTACATTGTTTTTTCTGAAACTAAACATTTGTATATAGTTAAAATAAAAAGAATAAAATTACAAATAATATTATCAGGTCACGCAAAGCAGCTTGTAAAGCGCATAGCACGGAAGAAAAAGTTCAAACTCATGTTATAATTTTTTTTTCTAGGTGATAGGACTACTTTTCTGCCTGCGAGTCCGCCTGGGTAGGTACTATCCACTGACCAATTCCTATTGCCAAATGCAGCACTACAACCAACACAGTAGTAATAAAACAATGGTAACTTTGTTTACCTTTCCAGTAAAAAGGGTCACCGGTTCTCTACATTCACCGGACGAACCACAGCAGCGTTATGCTGCTATTTTACGTTGGTATTCTATATGAGCGTGGAGAGCGGTCGAACCGATCCATTCGTGCTACAACTATACTACTAATATAACAGCAGCATGGCTCTACAACGTATCAAATCTAGTTTTATAAATGTTTTAAATTTTGTATTTATAATATGCTACAGCGAAAAACATTTTCTAATAAGTCTTATCTGGGGGCATGGCAGTGCCGGGGCCAATTGACTTGGCAATCGCACTAAACAATCAAATTTAATATAATATGTATTACTTGAGAGGTTTTCATGCGATAGGCAAATCAATTTATTTATTTAAAATATAAAAGATTTTTAATATTGATGTGGTCACTATAAGATGTTGTTAGGTTAGCTAATTACGTAATAGCTGAAGACAGAAGGACCCTTAAGTAGGGACTGAATAAACTGAATAAATTAACCGTATCACATGGATCTCACAACTTTTTACGCTGAGTTGCGAGACTTGTTTTTTTTTATTAGTTATGTTTTTGATGGCATAAACATTGTGTTAGAACATATATATTTCGCATTTTATAATACGTAAATGTGATTTCTTGTTAAATTAGCGACTCAATGTAGTCCACGATTAGAATTACTTGTCGAATTGTTTGAGTATAATAATTACATAACATGAAAGATGAGACATAATCTACGGTAAAGATCGACACGTAGGTACTCGTATTGTTTAACTGAAAATGTAATTTGGTATGTCTAGAGAATGGCGTAATTCTCAATCACGAGTACACGACCAGACTATTACATAAGTTGACAAATGACATTTCGGGGCCCAACGAAGTGGTCCCAAGATTGTAAATAGTTATACACAGGTACACGTGCAACTAGCAAATACAAAATACAGGTCGCTTGGCTAATAAAGAAACAAAACAGAGTAAGGGTTATTATATATTTAATTTAAAAAAGCTTAAAAATCTGTACGATAACTAATTTTTTTAAAGATTTTTTGTTATTAATATCTAGTCTATATTATGTTAAGTATGGAAGTAAATAAATATACACCGAATGTTATTTTTCTTATTTATTACATACTTTATCCTCTCAAATCAATTTGTTATCAATAACATTCGATGGAAAAACTTAAGGTAGTTAATAATTAATAAATTTATTGTAACGAATGATACAAGTAATTGGTAATTACTTTCACATAGATCCTTATAATTTCTCTTCATCGCCTCGAAATACTAAGTATGAAATACTTAGTATCCACTTTGATGTTTTAGATAAGATATGAAGATACATATTATAAAGTATATTATTTTTTTTCAAGCACCCCTCAAACAATTTATACATGGTAGTATATTAGGTTGTATAACGGATTGGTAGGCTCGACCGAGGACAGACTACGGTCTTACTGAATTCCAGCGTAAAAGAGCAGCTTAATGCTGCATATTTATGTCAGCCTTAGACCGAAAAGATTTTTTTATTCATGCAAAGGGTTGAAAAAAATAACATTCAAAATTTTATGCCAATATAACAATTAGATAGACTCCAATATGGTATTAGGTTATCATTAGGTAGGTATCATATATCATAAGGTTATATAATAATAACTTTACCAGGTAAGACATATTATCATTAAAATTAAATGATGTATCTAGGTTAAATACAATACATAAATGATCTATATAAAGAAATGCATTCATTACTCGAGGCCGGAAAGGCGAATCATTATATGCCCTTATTGTAATAAAATTTGGATAGCTAATTAGGTAGTCAATTTAATAAGATTAACAGAAATACACTTAAGATTTAAAATTTTAACAAAGTAGAAATGATAATAGCTGTATTTGAATAATGCGCCATCTATGAATATATTTTACCATCAAAATATTTATTAATATTTAAGTTAGAACAAATATGATCTTTGATATTCTTAAGGCTGCGTAGAGTTTTAAAGAGATGGCGCTGTTATTTAGATAATTTAAGTGTTATTCGATTGCCTAGGATTTGTTTTTCATTTATTTTTAGCAAACTAGGTACCTACATATCCATTTTCATATTTCATTACGGTGCAGGTGAGTTTTGACAATCTGACTGATTTTTTGCGAAATGTAATGTTTATATGCATACTTTAAAATTTCTTGTTCTCATTAGCCAAGTCGTACTTAATGGCACTGTGTAGTAGTTGTGGCGTAAAAGTATCAAATTTCGTATATCATCCCGTGGATGTCGTAAGAAGCGACGAAGGGAAATGAAACAGAAGATGCGCAACAGAATCTTCTTAATAAAAACCAAAAATACAAAACTGATATTGCCAACTCGCCTGCCAAACGTCGCAATTTTTATGGCAAATATCCTCTACTATGAAGCAATCTACGAAGGGACCTATGTACCTACAGCAGTAGAATTTTGATAGGCTGTAATAAATATTTGAATGAATGTGAATACTTCAAAAATTATTTATTTTATATGATCCAAGTTGCACTTAATGATTACAAATCGATTATGGCGTATTAAAACAGCAAATCATAAAAAATTACTCTTTTCAAATCATTTCATATCATAACACATTATACTATTTCATTTCATATTAAAACCACCAAACTGTTTTTATGAAAATGAAATGAGTAGTTTTGTAACTTTAAAATAATTACATTCATTAAAATAAATTATTTCGCTATCCCATCCTAATCTATTCTAGGCATTTAATCCCTTTACTGTAAGTAGGTTTTGATGAGCATATTTTTTTTATTCATAAATTAAGTGGGATCAATATATGCCCATCGAAGTCAACTATTCATATGGATCAACGTTGAATTATGTACTGCATAAAACTCCCATTAAAAATACAGACAAAATACAAATTTCTATAAAAGTCGCTATTACTTATCTGGGTCTAGCCCAAGACAAGCATACTGTTCAGAATTGTAATAAAACATAGAATACAATATTTACATAACACTATCTCTTCAACCCTAAATATGGCGTCTATCGTGTAGGGTGTAGGCCGTTCGATCTCGACGGAACCATTTTGTTAATTTCATGACAGGCAATGCAACTTTCAAGTTAAACATCGAAATATGGAACTAGCGGCAATAGGATGAATACCGTTATACTTTTTGAAGGCACATAATCTCACCCCGTATAAGAACGCAATGAAATTTGAATTAACGTAACCAGAAAGTATAAAATTACATAATTTTGTAATATAATTAAGAAGTACTCCAACGGCGTCACCGATAGAAGCGTTTACAAGATCTTTAAGATGTTGAGGTGAAATTCCGTCAACGCCGCCAGCAGAGCCATTCTAAAATGACATAATTGTTTCTAAAGTGACTTTTTCTGTTGTAAAGGTTGCATAGAAGTCTTGGGAGGCAGCGATAAACTTTGAGAAGTATTGACCGAAGGAAAGCTTCTGACGAAGGCCTTTGAGAGTTTCGAGAGTTTATGAGGAGCTAGGATGTCATCTGAGAATAAAATACGGAATGAATTTTTTAAGTCGCCATCCATTACTTTCGACTCAACTACTTACTTATTTTAAATCAAATTTAGGACGACTTCGAGATAAATATGTATTAATTGGGTAATCTAAGTTTTCAAAAGAGGTCTGTTCTAGTTAAGATGTAATTGATTTATTTATTGTTTTATCAAAATGAAAATAAAAAAAAATCAATAAATGGTCAATCAGACATTGTTACGTATTACACTTCCTTAATTAAAAATTGAAAACGTGGAAAAAGTAAACGAGCAGATTATAAAAATTAACCAAATTAAAAATTTTGCAGAAAAAAAACTTTTTTGTACTTAAAATTTTATTAATTTTTTCATGAATGCTTAGTTAATATTAAAAGGTGTCGAGGTAGACCGAGACTAACTTTCGAAGACCATGTGAGCAAATTGCTCGAAGAGGGTAGGGTCAAGAGTACTCGGATACCTAGACGTGTATGTATGAAGAAGATAATGAATCTGAAAGAAGCGAAAAAGGTAAGGATCGTGACACTTGGCGATCTGTTCTCTCTGGCTACCCCGTCAGGGATTGTGCGTGAAGATAAGAAGAAGAAATGAATGCTTAGGAAATACTATAGTCATAGAATTATTACGTAACTATAATCATAGAATCTATAATAATAATGTGGTCTATAATCAGTTCTTACTGCCGCCAACTCTAGCTTTTTAAACTACTTTCAGTCTCCTTGGCACATTCCTAATCAAGTTATCAATAAAATCTTGAGAAAGTGCGTTCCATTTCTCCTATAATGCGTTTTTAAGATGTCTCAAATTAGCGGAAGTAAGATTTTTTTTCTTAACTTATATTTCAAGCTTATCCCACACATGCTCTATGGGGTTTAAGTTGGACGAGCACGCTGGCCACCGGGCGCTGGTCTCGAAGATATTCGACAACTTCGGGCAAGGTGGGCAATATGGGGGCGTGCAATATAAAAGGGCCAAATGGCACTATAATTTCTCATAAAATCTCAATTACACTGTTAGCGACTTATTCTTAATGACTGTGAGTTACGTGCATGCCTCCATACAAATACCTCCACATACCATAATTAACCCTCTATCATAATATGTCACTTTTCTAATGATGTTGCATTGAGCAAAGTCCTCCCACGGGCATCTCAACACTTTAATCCTATTGGCTTCAGGTAAAACATGGACTCATCTGTTAACAGAACTTGACTCCAAACTTCGTCATTCCAAAGCTACTTGATGGCATGTGGCAAGAAGGTGGCCTTACGTGCAAATTTCACACTTGCCTGACAGATGTACTTTTTCTCACAGCTTTTGTGCTTACTCTAACCTTTTGAACTTCTTAAAGCTTCGTTCGTACATCAGAAGAAGTTCCAACGTCTTCTGAGGCAAGACAACAAGAAAATTCAATGTTGCCTGTACATAGTGCACTCCCCTGTCTAACGAGCGAAGCTCTGAAGACCGAATGGTATCGAAAAATGTATCTAAACCTGATATTGTACGTGGTAGAGCCATGCTGCAGCTATATTACTTGTATAGTTGAAGCACAAATGGGTCGGCTCGACCGAGGAAGGACCACGTTCTCACAGAATACCAGTGTAAAATAGCAGCTTAACGCTGCTGTGTTTCGTATGGTGAGTGTAGAGAACCGGAGACCCCTTTTTACTGGAAACGAGGCATTCCATCTTAGTCCTCACAGGTGACAACGCATCTGCATTTTGATACGTAATCGAAGATAGATGTAGATGTGTATGGGCCACAGCAACCACTTACCATCAGGTGGACTGTGTGTTCGTTTGTCACCCTTATCCTATAAAAAAAATGTATCCAAATTATACAGATAGGAAGCAACATTGTGAGCTAAACACATTAACCTACTTTCCCTGCGTAATTAACATCCTCTTTAAAATGTCTATAGAATATGGAACATTGAGATGATTCTGACCACTACATAAATCTAACCATTTTACATCTAATTTTATTGAATAGTTATAATGGCTGCTCGACTTTTGCATAGTTCAAAGCCCTATAGAAATGGGGGCCTTACACAAGTGGTTAAAATAAAAAAAATCTATATTTGTCTCTGCGATTGCAAAGCTCTTAGCAAATATGTTTGTATATGTAGTTCTGTGGGTTTCATGTTACGATTTATACATAAATCTGAGTTATTGCTCTTTGCATGCCATTAAGTTTGTTAATAAATTTAGTTTAATAAGGTTTTAATTTAACACTAGATTTATTTATCACAAAATAATTAAATAATTTGATGAAATCGTTCTTATAGAATTTTGGATATTTTAGATATATTAATATTACTATCAATATGTTGTTTATGTACATAAATATAAATTGATTAACTTTTAAATAAAGTCTTACTAAGTAAGTAAATTTTTGTTCATCATCAATCAGTGGCAGTGCATTGCTGGACACAGGCATAACCCAATGGTTTGTGTTGTTTTTGAGTATATTCCTTTGAATTTAATACAAGATAAGGTACAAATGGAATGAGGCGTGTTACATTTTTTTTCAAATGTCAACCACTTATTGACAAGAGATCTCATAGTGGCTTAATAAGTTTGGCAATGCCATAAATGTACATTTTAACTAATTTTAGTAAAATTAATAATGAATGACACTTATACATTATACAGAATAAATAATTAACTCTTTAATAAGGATGTATACGAGTACAAAAGACATTTTGCTGTAAAAGTCAAGACCTAGATCAGGTCATTGCATGAGCTATATGCCACTCAAGTTGTCCGTTACTTGTCATAACAGCCTTTGAGAATGTTATAATAGAGATGTAATTTAAAACTCAAATTAAGAATGAGGATGTGAGTTGTACAATATTGTATATTATGTATGTATTTTAAGATTTTTTCTATTTAAATAATTTTTTCTTGCATATTGTTTTGATTGAAATTTAAAAAAAATGAAATTTAATTTTTTTTCTTATGGCCAACTAAGCGTATTACGATGATACGAAGAAGTAAAAGAAGAAAAAATATTTCTTGCCTAAGTTGTGCTGACGTTATTACTCAAAATTAATTTTTTTAATCCGTATGAGTATTAAAAAATAGTAGTATTTATACTACCTCGCTAATTTTGTTTATTATGTGTATATTAACATTCGAAATGTATTTTTTTAAACTCCTAAGTGATAGTCGTAATTGATTTTATCGGAACAGTAACTTCTTATAACAGTTTTGTACTGTAATTGAAAAAAAAAGACTATAGTATATTGTAATTCTTTAATTTATAATTACTAATCTCGTATATTCCTAATTATATAAAATACATCACAGTTACAAATCGCTTACTTAAACGCACAATAATCCGGTTGACGTTGCACTAGTAAGTACGTGGGTACATTGTGTTGTTCAGTAATAGGAGCCTCTGTCGTTTGGCAAGATCTAACCGCGGAAAGGTTGCTGCTGGAATGTTGGTTGGGGTTGCTGGGGCTGGGACTGGATATACTGGAGTGCACGAGCAATTGCTTCTGGGATTGGGGGAGGAGTAGGCAAATGAGCGCCTTCCGCACGGAAACCTGTAAATATAAAATTTTATTTCAATGATGACTATATCATATTTTATAAAATTAACTTAGTTATCTTAAATTTGTCTTTAAAAATGTTCCCCCACACTAGGATTTTTTCCTGTTTAGTGAAGGCGGTTTACATACATAAATTGCACAAGAACAAACAGCCAGACCCGGAACATTTACTTGTAGACCATACAAATACTTGTTCCTTGCGGGATTCAAATCCGCCGCCCTCAGCGCCGTAACTCAATTATACGTCAATTATATTCATGAAGGAATTATAAAAAAAAACTCAACAAAAAGACATATTATAATACGGACAATCTTAAACTCCATCTTTCATTTCATGTTATATACCGTCATTTTAACCAGTTTATATTCTGTTCATGAATCGCATTTTATTGCAAATAAAACATAAGTATGCTAAAAGGAAACGAATGTATATGATAGAAATCTTACCGTTTTCATCAGCGATATAAGTGACAGTAATAGGAATGCCTTCGGGCGATGTGTAGCTAAATGAACCCTGGGCGACCTGAGCCTCTGCATCCTTCACACCGGCGTTCTTCAGGTAACCTTGTTCTTGGGCTGCGATGCCATTTCCAGTCTCATAGCTGCAATGTACGGTATAATATGAATAAGGTAATTAATGAAGACGATGTATATAGAATGTAATCAAGGCAAATTCATATCGATGGTTAACAGTTTACGAAACTTAAGTAAATATTTAAAAATCCAAAAGTTTAATAATTAAAATCTGAAAAGTAGTTTTAAAAGTACTAATTTATAAAGATAACTGGCATCTAATTATTTTCAGAACACTCAAACCTAGCAAAGTTTGAATTTTTTGTAACAGCTGATTTTTTGTACGTTATACATCCATAAAGTTAAATTTATTCCGATTTAATGCATTATCTGTCTTAGCATAAACCACATAAATCTTTGTAATAAACAAGATGGTCGCTTAGCAAGAGGTGTGGTACATCACGCAATAAAACAAGTAAAGATCGAATCTAATAAGCGGTTTCGTCAAAACGTTTACCCCGTCGTTCTCATACTATCTACATGCATTGTCAACCTTTGTTCTTGGGAACAATTTGTCTTATGCACAAATTCTAACATAACTGGTCTACTCAAAGTTTCGTCATTGTTATGCGAATAAAATTTTATGGTTCTTTGTATATTTGCGGTTAACCTTTTATCAATGTAATAATTTTAAAGATTTATATTATTAAGGATCTGTGCTGTACTGTCGGGGGCTTGACTTAAATTTTGATATCTAAAACCACTGAAATTGTTAATTGCCGTTCGAAGCTGATTTAGCACGTGTTTGGCGGTAATATACATCGTGGGAAATCCTGTGTCTTGGAAATGTAAAAAATATGTAAATTTCTAGTATATGTGAAATATGCCAATATGCACTATATCAGCAAGAAATTAAACTGGAATCTTTTTGTGTTACTGGTTTGATTTCATTTTATAGTTAACTGAAAAGAAAATTACTTTCCCGTCTCAAGCAATTTGTTTTGTAACTTAATAGTTTCTTTAATCTTCGACATGTGGTTGAATAGTCATCTAAAAAAAATTACCTAACTTAAGATATTCATATGTGCAGATGCAGCGGCACATAAATTATGACATTTATAGATATTATATTGATATTAGGATGATGAGAATGAAGGCAATTTTAAGCCAACTTCAAAAAAGGAGTAGGTTTACATTTCAAATATACGCTTTTTTGTATGTAGATATGTTACGCGATATCTTCGTCAAGTTATACTGATTTCAATGATTTCTTTGCATTAAATAAGTTCTACTTCAGGGATGACCTCATATAAATTTAGAGAAAAATTTGCACCTCTAAGGGTTGCACAATAGGAGATGAAGTTGTTAATATAGCTATTTACTTGATGCTATTGCTATTGAGATTATGTTATTCCATAGTCCGCTAAAAATCACAATATGATGTGAATGCTAAGACGTTTTGAAGACTTAAAGCGTCGGATTCAGAATGTAAAATAATTTTGTTTCCAACGCATTGTATCTGCTCATAATAATGAAAATGATTAATTTTGAATATTTTAAAATATTTTACACGCCTAACTATAAACTTTATGGTTTTGTGAAGATTAAATGAATTAGAAAACAAGAAACCGAAAGAAGAACATTTATGTTATACGTATTATCTCACTAGCTTTTATATTTTCAATGTATGAGTATTTCTAAAATTGCTTATTCTGATTTAGTAACTGCTCAATTGCTACTAACAAATTATAAATTTTAATAACCAATTGCATTTTACATATTCAAATATTTACAAAACTGTTAAATATCAAATTATTTTTCTTTATAGCACAATAGTATTCAAGAAACAATATCGTGAAGTGTAATAACGTGAAGTAATTGTGTAATGTGGGTTGGCTGGTTGTGTGGTACTCTTGCTTAGGAGTCCCGCGTATAAAGCGTTTAATTTTGTGAACATGGGAACGGCTAGTTATGACGCCGTTTATGCTTGAGTATGTATTTCACAATGTTCAATATTTACTAGCCGTATTTGGAAAGAAGATTTTGTAAGCCTATCAATAGTGTCGGCGATTAAAAGGTTAGTGTCGATTTATTAACAGTGAAATTTATGACAGCAATTACGTAATGCGGCTCTATATTTTATAAATTTTAAAAATACATATAACATTTTGTAATCTATATAGAGAATGGATTATAATATGTTTAAATATATTAATTAATATCAAATATTTTATTAAGTTTTCGTTTTATCACTAGTGTTCATGTAAAAAAGCATACCCAAAATATTGATTGTTCGTTCTATTGTTTAAAAAGATATTTAAAAATATATAAACAAATAGCTATGAAATAAGCTAGGGCTTTTTTTAAGTATACGAATATTCTCGTTAAAGTTTTATTATATGATATTGATTAAATCAGTAAAAAATAGAATCTAGAAAAAAAATTACCTGTACTGGTAGGAGCCGTCAAAATTTACTTCTTGAGTCTGACTGAGGATGGGAATTTGTTGACCTGGGTACTGTTGCTGCGGTTGGTATTGGAATTGTGGGGCAGCACCAACCATAGCTACTAGAGCAAATAATGCGACGAACTGAAATCAAAAGTTTTAAATGAAATTTCGGTTTTAAGGTGCACGCGTATTGTTCACAATAGAATTTTTTACAATTAAATAGTATAATATCAAATATACATAATACTCGTTAAAATAAATAATACATGTGCACAAAAATGTGCTCTATATAAACGTGTGTTTGCTTTATATACCATAACAGCCTATTAAAGTCCACTGCTGAACATAGGCTTCCCCTATAGATTGCCTCATATTTGGAATATTTGCAATAGTTGCCACGCTTGGCAGGCGGGTTGGCAACCGCAGTTTTTTGAGTTTTATTCGTTATTAGGAAAACGCTGCTGCCCATGGGATGATATTGCTTATAATACATTTGATTTCCGTAATAAACACATTATTACGTCGATTTGCAAAACTTATTTATTACCATAAACATAAAAAGGTTAATCTGAACAACCATAAAAAATTGATCCACAAATCTTAAAATCCTAATTTTGTTCGGATATCTTTGAATTTATGTGTCCATGTATCAAGCATTACAATCTAGACAATAACAATAAAAAAACCACTATCATTAAAATGTAAAATCCAACTTCAAGGAACCAAAATGAATTAAAATAATTTCCACACGGTAGTTTCAGAAGTCGGTGCTAAGACATAGTGAATAGAAGGATTAAGGCTTCGACTTCAGAAGCTATTAGGTTGAAATTTACCGATTCTTTTTTTGTAATAGTTTTTTGACCCTTTGAATAGGCTAAGGATTTTCATAAACAAGGTTTTAGCATGTAGTAAAAATATTAATAAAAAAAACATCGTTAGGGATGGAATTTTATCTTCAAATTTAAATGGGGTAATACTTAAGTTATTTCACAAAATATTATATATGTAATTATAATTTATTAAAAAGGACGACAAAAAATTCATAAAAATCGGTTCAGTCGTTTCCAAAGATCGGTGAACATACATAAAAAAACATATATCATCGAATATAGAACCTCCTCCTTTTTTGAAGTCGGTTAAAATAACTTCGATTGGTTAATCTAGATTTGAGTATCTACATTATAAATGACATATTTCCATTAACAGACCTGCTTTCAAGCCAATTGACGAAATTCATTTCGCAAATACAATGAAAGCTTCACACTTAATCTTGACTTTCAACACAAAGTTCCACCATATTATACTAAAGTGTGTAAAAACTGTAACGAGGGTGCTACGAGCAATTAAATGTTGTTGGCGAATAAAAATGTGTGGGAATGCATTTCAAGATACAATGCCGTGTAGAGAGATAATAATACAAATGCTTTGTTATAATTTACAAGCATTGTTTTCTTAATAATAAGGTCGCGATAGATTCACAAATTTGATAAATATTTTTTATTCGATATGTTACGAGTTAAAAAAAATTATGCGAAATATCATAATAATTCCCTAATATTATGAAAAGTGGTAATGAATTTAAAAAATATTACAAACTAACAAGTAAGTAAATATTCTTATGAACGAGTAAACTCACCGACTTCATATTTATTTATAATTATGAAAATAAATCAAATCAAATCAAAAAATATTTTATGATAATTGATGATCCTCGTTGGATGTTTGTGGTGGGAATGATCTTTCAGATTGAGTGGCGCGGCTTTTATACAAGCGCAGCTCGTGAAATTAGATTACGGCTAGCAAAGACTCTAAGTAACGTGAACTTCAAAGCAATACCGCCCGCCCGCCCGACGCATGAATCATCTATGCTAATATGTACTTTAAAAATCATTACTTAAAAGAAATAAATTTTTTCTCAATTTGATGCTTTGTAACGCTAAAATTAATGCAATCTATGTTTGAGAGTATATGTTTGTACATTTACTTAATAAATTAATTACTGGTAAACAGCTTAATTAATAATATAACTGTAATAAAAATTTTTAGACATAGCATTTGGAAAATTAATTTACTTAAGATTAATAAAAATAGTTTGGAAATCTAAAAGTTCCTCGTTCCTCGCTTTTATTTTTTTCATCAAAATATCATTTGATTTTGATGAAAATAATAAATATCTTTTAAATGTCTATGAGTCTAATAAAAACTTGAATAGGGATTACCCCGAGAATAAACGGAAACTTATTCAGAAAAAAATTATTTCATTTTTTGCGTATATTTTATGTGAAACGTGAAGACAAACAAGTGCACAGACTAACTGACAGACGTACTAATAATATTTTAACTACATTTTTTGTAAATATAACTAAACAAACGAATAAAAAATACACTGACTTTATAATTTAATATATCTAGTTTAAAAAAAACATACCTTTTTTAAATAAATTCTTACTAAATTCTTAATAAATAATTTTAAATAAATTTTTACTAAATCATAGTATCTAAATTTAGACTTACGAACAATTTTATATTGCAAAATAGTGACATAGCGGCAAGTCGAGAGTAGAAAACTCCCAAACGCTCGCGCATTGTGAGGCGTGCAAAGGTTTTTGTTACTAACTTGACGCATAATCGAAATTTAGTTTGGAATTTTTACTGAATCGTGAAGGTGGCTTGAATAAGTAAACTGTATAAGGAAAATAAAAAATTGTACAGGGAACAATTATTTAAAGGCCATATAAAACTTGTTCCGTTAGGGGATCGAACCCGCGAATATCGCAAACAATGCGTTTTTTCCGATTTTAGCAGGTTAACTATGACGTCAGGCAGTTAAAATACTCTGTTTCCCTTAACCATCGTTATTATAAATTACTCTAAATGTCGGAATTCAAGAGTTTATAAAAATACAAGCGATACCATTCGTTAAGTTAGTTTGTCATTGAAAAGCGTGAATTAGGCTAAGCGGTGTGCCCCAGGGGAGGTATTTTAATGTCCAGTAGCAGAATTCAACAGGATGGTGATGATGATGATAACGAGACAATTAACGTTGATAAAATTTTGGAACGTGGTAGAGCCATGCAGCTATATTAATAGTATAGTTGTAGTACGAATGGTTCGGCTCGACCGAGGAAGGACCACGCTTTCACAGAATTCCAGCGTAAAATAGCAGCTTAATGCTGCTGTGTTTCGTATGTTAAGTGTAGAAAACCGGAGACCTATTTTACTGGAAAAGAGGCATTCTATCTTTGTCCTCATGGCTGTCAACGCATCTCCTTTTTAATTCGCAAACGAAGATAGATGTAGATGTCTATGTGCCACAGCAACCACTTATCATCAGGTGGACTGTGTGCTCGTTTGTCACCCTTATTCTATAAAAAAAAACGTGTCAACGTTAAAACACAAGTAAATATTTTATATCGATTTGTTTATTTCTAAATCTTTTCACTAAATTGTTAGGATAACTTTAATAGTCTAATTAAACTATCACAAATGTAATATGATAAAGTTTATAATTTTACAGTATTATGTTGTAAGTATAATTTATTATATTCTTATATATTTCATATTTAGAGTTGAACTTTAAATAGAAGCTATTTATATGTCAGTCAACTCATCTTAAAATTGTGGCTTTGATAGATGATCTTCAGTGCATATTTCATTCTGTCTGCTAATATTTGATGTGAAAAGACGCCATTACCTAAAGTACAAAATATAATAAGGTTGATAATAGTTTTAAGTTAGTATAACTACTTGTATAAATATTAATTAATTAAGTAATGCCGGTAAAGCTGAAATAAAAAAGATGATTGTAAGATTGTTCTGACGAATTTAGTTTAAGCATAGTGATTATACATAATACACAACTTGGATTTAGTATTTAATCTTACTTTGTTTCTTGGGATTAGGGAGTTTTGATTCGTAGCTATGTATTATGTAAAAGTAATGAAAATGTAAGACCGTAGTAATAGACAACATATTTACTTTCTATTTTTATTACCGTGATATAAAAATTTTAAATTAATTATGATTTCGATTTGAAATTGATTATGAATTCGATTATGATTATGATTATGATTATGAATTGTGCTATGTTGTGGTAGATTAAGGTAATTGAGCCCTCCCGTCCTGTAGGGTTGTAAAAAAATACGTTGTATAATATTTGGAACACCAAGTATAGAACCTACAAGCCCCAGATAGGCCGTATATCCTATTTATATAAAAATAGGGCCAAAGCTGTGACACTACCGTGTTTTTAGTAGCAGTAGTAGTTTGATGGTTTGTTGGATTGGTAATTGTGGTAAGTTCTCCCTACAGTAGGGGAAGTCCCGTCCCACGTGATCCCATGTAGATTGTTTATGAGCTCGGGCGAACAGAGCAAAACATTAGAAGTAGTTAAATGTAATATTCTTTTAAGAATAATTTTTCTAAATAATATATAATAATAATCTCCTGCAGATCGAATTCCGGTCACAGTGACCAGTCTAAACGGAGACTAGCTATCTGCACAGGACAGGATTATAGTGCCCACGTATATGCGCAAACACAAGCGCACCTTCTATTCCCTCGCTCTCATAGTCGGAAAGGACGGTATAATCTGACGAAACCGGAGAGAGGTCAGGTGCAGGGCCAACGACTTTACGTGCTTTCCGAAGCACGAGGGTGAAACACCACCAAATTCCTGACTCAAGGCTGCTACTGGGAATTTGTTGACAGAAAGACCCGATAACTGATTTTTGGCCAAGCCCGGGATTTGAATCCGAGACTCCATGATCAGAAATCACATTTACGACCACAAGACCAACGAGGCATTCGTAAATATATATGTAACCTTCTACACGTCTAGGAATTTCTATAAGCTCTGCTTACTTATTCGCTATCTTACATAATTTTTCCATAAGAAGGATAAAATACTTTTAAATAATAAAAATTAACACCTCTCTGTGAAGCGACTCAGACTTCCGAAATTATAGATCTAAATCAAAATAATAACTTTTGAAAACTACGTTACTTAAAACTATACTACAAAGAACGCAATATTTTAGATAAAATATTCAATTTTTTCATCGTATTTTAGTTGAATTAATCGAATTTTGTATCACTTCCCTGCCAGTTGGTGT